GAGAGGTTTTTGCTATAGGGCGTGTGTGCTTGCCAGACAGACAGAGAGAGACAGAGAGAAAGCGAGAAATCACCCCCCAGGGGGGATGGCCACGCCGCAACCCCTTCTCCTCCATTCTCCTCTCCGGATCTTGGGCACGCACGCACACGCGCCCGGCGTGAGTTTGAGCCACCGGGTCTGGGACTCGAACCGTGGTTGACTACATGGGAGTCCAGCGACATAGCCATTACGCTAACTGCTGGTCCCAATGAGTATATTCTTTATTTCATTTCTCGCAAGAGTCCAGCAAGATAGGCAGAGTTGAGTTTACTCTCTCCATTTTCCAGAGGCAAAAACTGAGGCTCGGGAGAAGCGTCTTCTCAGTGTCAGCCGGGGCTCTCATCACCACGAAGATTAGGGATGGAGCTGGAATGAAGTCGTCTTTTCTTCACTTCCTTGGTTTGTCTGATAAAGATTTGCAATCTTTCTAGACTACTACTTCAAGCCAGCCTGTGTTGGGGTGGTTAAGGCTATTGGATCCCACATGGCTGACAGCACAGTTCAACTCCCAGAACCTGCAGCTTGAAAAACATGCTGGGCACATGCACCTGAGTGCCCACAACCCCGAGAGGAGGATGGAGAACGGATTGCGGTGTGGCCATCTCCCTAGGAGGTGCTTTCTCACTTTCCCTCTCTCTGGCAAGCACGTATGCCTGATAGCAGATAAAAATTAATAATAAGAAGAAGTTTTAAAAGAATACTACTGGGCCAGTAGGGTGGCATGGTGATTAAACAGTTGGATTCCCACGTGGCTGACAGCAGCTCAAGTCCTGGACACAGTGGCTTGACAATCACACCAGACACATGTTTGCGTGTTCCCAGAGTCCTGAGAGTGGAGAAGCGATTGCAGCATGGCCATCCCCCTGGGGTGATTTCTGACTTTTCGTCTCTCTCTCTCCTTTCTGGCCAGCACACACGTCCTATGGCAGAAATCTAAAGAAAATAACAACCACTTCTTTAGTTGATTCCTTTGTTCAAAAACATTCATTAGGGAGACAGCAGGTAGTGTAGTAGTTACATCGCTGGACTCCCACATGGCCAACCACGGTTCAAGTCCAGGACCTGGCAGCTTGAAACTCATGCTGGGTGTGTGAGCATGCAGATGTGTGTGTGTACCCAAAATCCCGAGAGGAGAATGGAGGAGAAAGGATTGTGGGGTGGCCATATCCCCCTAGGGAGGTGATTTCTCGCTTTCCGCCTTTCTGTCTCTCCAACAAACACATGCACCCTATCGCAAAATCTCTCTCTCTCTCTCAAAAAAAAAAAAGAAAAAGAAAAGAAAGAAAGAAAATCCAGTAGCTCTCTACTACTTAAGCCTCAAGGTATCAAAGGCATTTCTTTCTTTCTTTCTTTCTTTTTTTTTAAAGGGAGATTTTTGCTGTAGGACACATGCACTCACCAGAGAGACAGAAGACAGGAAATCACCCCCAGGGGTATTACCACACCATAATCTCCTAGCCTACTCCATTCTCTTCTCTGGATTTTGGGCATGCATGCGCATGCACCAGGCATGAATTTTAAGCTGCTGGATCTGGGACTCAAACCAAGGTCAGCCACGTGGGAGTCAAGCAATGTAACCATTAAGCCATCTGCTGGTCAGCAGCACCGGGTCTCGAGGCTGCACTGGGAATCAAACCTGGGCCTCCCAAGTGGTCCCAGCCTGCATTTCTAATACAGGCTTCTCCCAAGCCCTTCTTTTCCTCCAGCCATTCGGATGTCCTGGCTGCCCCTGCCCTTCCTCTCCCCATGCCTTTCTCAAGCTGTCTCTTTCTGGCATGCCCTTCCGATTCCATGAAACTGTCCTGGCCCTCTGCAAACGACCCCGAAGTCCCTACCTCCAAGATTTCTTAGTCCACTGGGCGTAGAGCAGCCATGGCATTTACTGGCCACTAGTGTCTGTCAGGCTGCTGGCTCCCGTCCCGTCTCCACTCTCACCCTAATGCTACGAGGCAGACTTTAAGACCCGATAATAAAGAAGCAAAGCCAGGGCTGGCCCTGCGGCACCTGGATTAAGCACTGTGCTCTGGGAGCCAGATCTCACATGGCTTGAATCCTGGCCCCAGCAGCTTGAAAAACATGCTGGGTGCGTGCGTGTGTGTGCCCAACATCCCAACGGGCAGAGACCTGGAGGAGAAGGGACTGCGGTGTCACCATGTCCCATCCCAATTTGGTGAGTGCATGCACCCTCTGGCAATTAAAAATATTTTTTTTTTAGAGAGAGATTTTTGTTGTAGGGCACATGCACTCACTGGAGTGGCAGAGAGAGAGACAGAGAGACAGAAAGTGAGAAATCACCCCCCAGGGGGGATGGCCATACTGCAATCCCTACTCCTCCATTCTCCTCTTGGGATCTTGGGCACGCACGCACACACGCCCGGCGTGAGTTTTAAGTCACTGGGTCCAGGACTCGAACCACAGTTGACTATGTGGGAGTCAAGTGATATAACTATTATGCCATCTGCTGGTCCCCTTATAAAATAATTTTAAAAAGGCAAAGAACCTAGTAGCTGAGAGTTGGTCAACAAACACCTCCTGATGGACAGAAGGACATGGTCTCCGCTCTCATGGAGTGTCCCTCTGGTGAGGAAGACAGAGAGTAAGGACACAAGGACACACGTTAATGGTCGTGATCTAATTATTGCTAACTGTGGTCAGTGCCAAGAAGGAGCAGAACTGGGTCTCCTGAGAAGAGCAGGGAGGGGACCAGCAGTTAGCGTAATGGCTATGTCGCTGGACTCCCACGTAGTCGACTGCGGTTCACGTCCTGGACCTGGTGGCTTAAAACTCATGTCGGATGCATGTGCGTGCGTGCCCAAGATCCCGAGAGGAGAATGGAGGAGACGGGACTGCGGCGTGGCTATCCCCCCTGGGGGGTGATTTCTCACTTTCTGTCTGTCTCTCTCTGGTGAGCGCACGCGCCCTATAGCAAAAACCTCTCCAAAAAAAAAAAAAAGAGAAGAGCAGGGAGGATCCAGCCTGGATTTTGAGGCCAGACAAAACTGTCCTTTGTGTTTTTAAAGGACACGTGAGCTCACGGGGGTGGGGGTGGAGCACTCCCTGTTGGGGCATGGCCACAACCCTTCCCCTCTAGCTCCCCGTCTCGTTGGAATTCTGGGACACAGGCATGTGCACCCAGTGTGATGTCAAGCAGCTGGTTCCAGGATTTGAACTGTACAGTTGGCTGTGTGGGATCTGGTTCCCTTCAAAAGAAAAAATATATTGATTTAGTTTAATTAATTTCTTATTCTTATTCTTATTTTAATTTGCTATAGGGTATATATGCTTACCAGAGAGAGAGAGAGAGAGCAAACAAGCCTCCAGGTCTGGGACTCACATCACAGGTGGTCCAGAGCTCCAACCACAGTACCA